TCAGCTAACGGTGGCACATGTTACTGCTGTGGTGTTGAATGAAGCAGATCGGCGTACTGCATCACCAAGGGGGAGTCCTCACAGATGTCATCCCAGAATGCAGTGGAACCACTAGATGGCGCCAAAGCTTTGAAGGCAGTGAAATGCTACTCGTGTGGACATCTAGGCCATGTGAAAAGGGAATGCAAACATCCCAAGGCCAAGGCAAGAGAGCAGCACAGCGAAAGCTCAACGCGTGGAAAAGGCAAAGGCAAAGGTCCGATGTCCAGGACAACGCAACACAAGGCCATGGTCTCACGCTTCACTCCAAAGGTCCAGAAGACGTCTAGATCTTTCTTCATTGTAGACTCGGGAGCGACCAGGCACGTTTGTTGGGACAAACACCTGTTCGTGTCCTTTACTCCGCAGGAGGGTGCGATTCACCAAGCGGATGACCACACGATCTCCAGTCATGGCTATGGAACGGTTGTTCTTCACAGCTTGGATGCATTGATACGCAACGTTCTTTTTGTTCCAGATGCTGCACACAACCTGTTGAGTGTCTTGCAGCTGACTGAACAGGACATAGACGTTTCCTTCAAGAAGAGGAAGTGCACCATCACCAAGAAAGATGACTTTGTATTGCATGCTGATTATATTGATCATTTGTTTGTATTGCATTATGATGATTCTCTTGATGTTGTGCAGGATGAAACTTGTTGTATTGCAGATACTAACAAGGTATTGCATGCAGGATGTATTCATGATTATCACAGGAAACTTGGTCATTTAAACTTTGAGGCAGTTTCCAAAATGCCTGCCTTAGTTGAAGGTATGACTATTAAGCCCTGCAGGTACCACATGAAGGGCAATGCATGTGCAGCAAACAAGGTCAAAATGGCTGCAAAGGTAAGGTGTCTAGTAGACAAGCTACAGAACCATACCAGGTAGTGCATGCTGATCTCGTTGGTCCACTATCACCCTCTTTGGGTGGAGCCAGGTACTTCATGGTTCTCATTGATTCATTTTCCAGGTATATTTATGTGTTCAATCTCAAGCAGAAATCAGAAGCATTTCCTAGGTTCAAGGAATTCTGTGCTTGGCTGAAAAATGTGCATGGTAAACAGGTGAAATGTTTGTTTACAGATCGAGGGGGAGAATTCACTTCTCAGCAGTTTGAAGCTTTTCTGACTGAGAAAGGAATTCAACATGACCTTTCAAGTCCACGGTCTCCTTGGATGAATGGACTTTGTGAAAGGGCAAGCCAAACTTTGTTTCAAGGCTTGAAAACCTTGCTGTATGATGCCAATCTTCCAGAGAGTTATTGGGCAGAATCGCTCAGCTGTTTTGTTTACACTTATAATCACAGATTATCATCACCGATTGGTTGTACCCCCTATGAAAAGATGTTTGGCAAGAAACCATAGATCAAGCACATGAGAATTTTTGGTTCTGACATGTGGGTTCACACACAACAAAGCTCCAAGTTAGGCAAACGTGGTTTGAATGGTATCTTTCTAGGATATCAGAAAGGTTCTTTTTTTAAAAAAAATAATCTTTATTGCTTTTAAAACTTACAAGAAAAGAAAAAAGAAGAAAATAGGCGAGAGAAAAAGACAAAATAAAGCAGAGAAGAAAAAAAAGAGAAAGAAAAGAAAAAACAATACAATAAACAATGCAAAACACAACCTTAACACACTAAACTAAACAAAACAAAAGAACAACAATTTAAAAACATATACCATACCATTTCATTACTCTATCTTTCATTCCCTTATTTCATCGACCTCCTCTCACCTCCCTTTTTGTATTCCACTTCTATTCCTTATTTCAGCAATTCCTTTCCATCTTTCTCTATTTTTATCATTATGAATATCTTAACATATTTTGTACCTTATTTTCCATTAATACTGAAATACTTATTTATACCTAACTCCTTATAACATTTCTGCTAAAGCCATAAAGTTTCAATCCAACAATTTTCTAACACTCATTAAATTTACAATATTTCTATATATAAACTTTAAACTTCCCAATCTTCTACCACCATCTCTTCTCCCTGGTCTCGGATTCTGCCAGTCATTTTCGTCCATTCCATATAGTTCATCAACCTGGAGATCTTCTGTCCGAGGCTCTTAAATCTTTTCCAAGTCCCTTCTGCAGTTTTTCTTCATATTCTCTGATGCTGAGGGTGCTGAAGTGCAGGTCTTGGGGGGGGGGGCCCGACCCAACCATGCCCCCATTCCCTCTTGACAGACCAACCAACTCTCCACAGCTAAAACCAGTGTCCATACAATATCTCAAATCATGTTTCAAGGCTCCTCCAGATCCAAAGGCCCCCACAACTCCAATCACCTCCTGACCCAGATTCAGGACCCAAAGGTCAGTAAATCTCTGCATGAAAGAGTCTATCCAACCTTCCTTCTTCAATCCAAGCAGGGCTCCAATCTTCAAATTCTGACTTTTTCTATATTCATTCATAAAAAGCCTCCACTTATAGTCCTCAGTTTGCCTCTGTAAGACTGGGGCTTCCACTTGTGTTATTTTAGGTTTAACAACACCAACATTCTCCTTCGTCTTCTCCCCAGTTTGTCCTGTCAAGGTAGGTTCCTGTGTCAAATCCTGAACAATTTCTGTATTAATGGTCACTTTTTGTTCCAAATTAATCACTTTTTGTCCCAAGTTCTCAAGTTTGGTATTCATAGCGTCCGTCTTCTTGTGGAGCTGTTCCAACGAATAGCTTATCTTACATAATACAGTCACTAAGGCTCCTTCTGTCAACATTCTTAAAGTCCAAGGTCAGTCTCTATTTCACACACTTCTTATCTTGCAACTGGAAAACCCCCAGCTCCACTCTTGTAACAGTTTCAAAAGCTCCCTCTAGAGGGAAACAGTCTCCACTTGTATCAATCCTTTCAAACACAATTTAAACTATAAAGTTAGTTTCTTTTCCTACTTTTTAAACGCAGATGAGTACAATGAAACCAATATATTTCTCTTATTTAGCTAGCTGTCAAAAAAGTCACTCTTTCTGGCAGCCCGTTTCCAGGTTCAGAGCAGTGGTAATTTGGTTTTTCACTCTCTCCTGCAGGCTCACTAGGTTCAAAATTTCCCCCCTCTTCTCCTGCTTCCAAGGGGGGTTTAATAGTTTTAACCGATGGAGATTTAATCCTTTACAAAAATAAACTTTCCAAGGCTTTCACTTGCAACTTCTTTGCTTCAGTCTGTTTACAAAAAAGGAAGGCGGACTTCCTCTTTAGAACCTTCCCGTTTCGATGCCAAATTAATGAATTTAATGATATACTTTTCCGTTCTACTCACGGGTAGTTGTTTAAAATCCAATTGTCCACAGGAAAAAGTCAGCGCTCTCCGGCAACAGCGATGCGGCTTCACTCCGTGAAAGAAGCAGTCAATTCGAAGCACCGCGCCACTCACCCCACTTAGCTCCGGATCCCCAAATCAGGGTTTCCCCGCGAGTAGGGGAGGCACAAAGGGTGCCAGCCAAATCCCAAGTTCATAGGCTTCTCCCGCCTGTGATTTCAGTGGGTCTCCACCTTCGCCGTGGCGGTCCAGACCCTAATTTCCGCGGAGCAAATTCCTCCCGATCGGAGGAACTCCGCCATTGCCTGGAGGCGCCAACCCGGAAGTCCTCTATCAGAAAGGTTCTTACAGAGTAATGATGACTGACTCTAACACAGTTAGGCTCACTAGAAGCGTTGAGTACAATGTCAAGTGGGGGGAGAATGTGGGAATTTTCCAACGTTTTCCTGATGACAGTGAAGAGTCTGAGGATAAAGAGCAGCAAAACCCCACACCCACTGATGAAGGTTCTGATTCTGAATCTGAAACTGAATCAGATGGTTCAGAGGATTTCAAGAGTGCTAAGACCTCTCTGCGACCCTCTGAAGGCTCTGATCGAGAATTGGAGGAACCATTGTTCACTATAGGCCACTTTTCTCCTAAGAAAGAAGAGGAGAGCGTTGAAGACTTACATCTGAAAGAGCCACGAAAGGTAGACCTCCAAAGAGATTTGCTGATGAATTTGCTAAAGCAGCAAAAGCTGTAACTGCTGTTAATAGCTCCAAGAAGGTATTTGAACCTTCAAGTTTCCAAGAGATCTAGGCTTTGGACTCGAAGGATGCTGAGCCATGGTTAACTGCCATGAAGGCTGAGCTTGATTCCTTAGAGAGGAACAAAACATGGGAGCTAGTTCCAACAGTTCCAGGGATGAAACTGCTTGACATCAAATGGGTCTTCAAAGCGAAGACAGATCAAAATGGCAAAATGGCAAGATAGTCAGACACAAAGCCAGATTGGTAGCCAGAGGTTTTTCACAGGTACCAGGAGAAGACTATCATGAGACCTACTCACCCACCGTGAGATATGAGATATGAGAGCTTATGCTCAAATTTGCTGCAGAAAAGAATCTACACGTTTCATATCACAATGTGAATACAGCATTTTTTGTACGGAACCTTAGGTGAATCACTTTATAATAATAGTAATAATAATAAAAAAATATTTATATCCTGCCCTCCCCAGCCGAAGCCGGGCTCAGAGCGACTAACATCAAATGTATAACACATTAACATAAAATCAAACAATCAATTAAAATACACCCTCAAATCAGATCAGGATCAGAATAAAATCCAATCAGATGGCAACCCACAGATTAGGGTTGGGGACCTTAAATGCTCACCAGGCCCAACTGTTTGTGCTGAACTTATATGGGCCTGTGAGAAAAATTGGGAGGCCACTTTCATGCAAGTTCTTATGAAAGGGGAGAGGGAGTCAGACTGAACCCCGACCAAAGGCCTGGCAGGCCCTGCGGAAAGATGTCAAGTCCTGCAGGGCCCTAGTCTCTTGTGACAGAGCGTTCCACCAGATTGGAGCCACAGCCGAAAAAGCCCTGGCTCTAGTTGAGGCCAGCCTAACCTCTCTGTGACCTGGGACCTTCAGGATGTTTTTATTTGCAGACCGTAAGTTACTATGTGGGACATATCAGGAGAGGCGGTCCCGTAGTGTCAGGGAACTGACATCGGAGCTAGAGGTGGAGGGGAGGCTCTCTAATGATGCTGGAGAAGGGCCCAGCAGGGAGAGAGGCAGCTCAGCAGATGGGGAAGCAATTCAGTGCAACACCAGGAATAAGGAGGGGCAGATGGGGGAATCGGAGAGAGGGCTCCCAGACTCTTCACCGGACACCAGCAGGGAGAGCACTGGTCCTCCGCTACCCACGCCCTCCCTGCGCAGAAGACTTCCGCGCAGAGAAAGTAGGAGGAGACTGGGTGTCAAACAACTTTTATGTTGGAAAAGGTTTAAGAAACGCCCACTGACGGATTCTGCTAGCGACTGAGGCAGCCACGAATTGAAGGGCTGTCCAGACAGAAAGGTTTAACAAGGCAACATAGCCAGGAGAGGCGGCAACTTACGCACGAGCAACCCCATACCATTATAGCAATCCGTCAGTCCCTGACGTTGCTTGTGCACAGCGGCAGGCAGCATCATGAGCAAAACCGGAGAAGCTGGCGCCACGGAGGGAGCAGCAGGAGTGCAAAATCTGGTGGAGAGGAACCGAGATTTGTAGCAGCATGTGGCTCTTCTGACGGCGCGGCTGGATGAAAGGCGGGCTCAAGATGCACAGGTCAGACCCACCCCCGTAGCAAGGAAGGTACCGGGACTGCTACACAAATTTGGAGGGAAGCCTCAGGACTATAGTGCGTTCCGGACGGAAATAGAGTACGCTTTGGAACTGCAGCAGAATGATTTTGCAGACGACGGGGAGCGGGTGGCTTATATTGTTGGGCATCTGCAGGATGGGGCCAGGGAATGGATCAGGCCCCTAATGGCAACGCAGAATGCCGCCTTGAAGGACCTGAGGAATTTTTTTCAGGGGATGGACGCAATGTACTCCAGTGACGTGCAGCAAAGTGTGACTCGGCGGGAACTGATGAACTGTAAACAGGGGCACCAGTCAGTAAGAGACTACTGGTCACGCTTTGCCATGTTAGTTCACCGGCTCGGGTGGGAACTGGACTCTGAACCCATTCAAATGTTGTTCGAGGAGGGGTTGTCCCCAACGGTGAAGGACGAGCTTTCCTGCGCACCCCGCCCGCAGTCAATGGATCAGCTGACCAAGGCTGTGCTTGCGATTGGTGTAAGGCAGGAAGCGCGGGCTCAGGAGAAGCGGGAAGGGAGAGAGCAACGTTACCATGACTACCGCATTCCTGAAATACCAAGGCAGCCTTCCCCGCCGGCGGAGCCAATGGAAATAGAGGTTTCAAATTCCAGCGACGGTCGCAAGAAGGAGGGAAAGGATTGGAAAACTAATAAGAAGTGTTTCCTCTGCCAGCGGCCAGGACATTTTGCCAGGGTCTGCCCTCAAAGAAAGTCCTGGCAAGGAATGGTGGGAGCTGCAGGGGGTGAGGAGGAGGTGGAAAAAGCAAAGGAGCCGGGAAACGACAACGCTTGGCTGCCACTCAGAGGGCACAGCAGCCAGGCCAGCAACCAATAGAAGTGCCCCAACCAGACCCCCCCAGGGCTTCTATAGCCATAGAAGTGGTGCTAGAACTCCCGAATGGGCACCCAGTCAAGGTGAAAGGGCTGTTGGATTCAGGCAGTTCCTGCAATTTCTTCAGCAAGGACTTTGCACTAGAGCACCAGCTCCACCTGCTGCCCTTAGATTTCCCCTTGCAAGTAACCACCATTGATGGCAGAGAGCTACTGGGAGGGGAAGTGACACACCAGACCCCACCAATGAGAATGAGGGTTTCCAGGCACTCGGAGACCATCGCCTTTCACGTAGCCTCACTGGCAGGGCCCCCCAATAATATTAGGGATGAGCTGGCTAGCACAACATGATCCAGTGGTGGCGTGGCATCAGAGGACGGTCACCTTTGGGTCCGCTTACTGTTTGGAACACTGTCTAGGGGGGGAACCCCAAGAATGACCATGGCCAGGGTGGCTGGGATAGCTGTGGAGCAGAAAGGGGAGGTGCCACCACTATATGCTGACCTGCAGGAGGTCTTCAGCGAGAAGGAGGCGGATAGACTACCCCCCCATAGGCCCTTTGACTGCCAAATCAACTTGCTCCCGGGGGGCGCAGCTACCGGTGGGTAAACTGTATGCCATGTCGGACAGGGAGATGAAGGAGTTGCGGGAATTTCTTGACAAGAACCTGAAAAGAGGCTTCATAAGAGAATCGAAAGCGGTGGGGGGCAGTCCGGTGTTCTTTGTGAACAAAAAGGACACAAATAAACCCAGGTTCGTTGTGGACTATAGGGCCGTCAATTTGGTGTCGGAATCCGTGACCTTCCCGATAACCAGGATTGATGACATTTTAACACGGGTGAGGCAAGGGAAAATTTTTACCAAGCTGGACCTCAGGGGAGCATACAATTTGATTAGGATGAGGGAAGGGGACGAATGGAAGACCACAATGTTCACACCCCTAGGGGCCTTTGAGTACCTAGTTATGCCTTTTGGATTACAGTCAGGCTCCGCCTGTTTTCAAGCATTCATGCACCACGTGCTGGGGTCCCTGCTGTACAAGAACTGCGTAGCCATCTTGGACGACGTCTTAATCTATTCGGACAATGAGGAGCAACATGTCAGGGACGTCAGGGAAGTGCTAAAACGACTGCAGAAGCACCAGTTGTGGGTTAAACTGGAAAAATGTCAGTTTCACGCCAGAGAAGTCGAGTTTCTGGGGTACAGGTTGTCAGACAAGGGCCTAGCGATGGACCCAAGCAAGGTGCAGGCAGTGCTGGAGTGGAAGGCTCCCAAAACCCGGAAGGACGTGCAGAGGTTCCTAGGGTTCAGCAACTTCTACAGGAAGTTCATCAAGAACTTCGCCCACTTGACAGCGCCCATCACAGATTGTCTCAGTAGCAAAAGGAAGTTCGTCTGGACAGAGGGAGCCCAGCAGACCTTTGAAAGACTGAAGAAGGCGTTCGCATCGGAAGAGCAGCTCCTGCACGTGGATCTGGAGAAACCCATGAGGCTAGAGACCGACGCGTCCGACAGAGCCATTGGGGCGGTTCTTTTGCAACCAGGAAGGAGCAAGCAGGAATGGAAGCCGTGTGCCTTTTTCTCGCGCAAGCTGAGCAAATTGGAGCAAAACTATACTGTGTATGACCATGAACTGCTTGCGATCTATGCGGCGTTTCGTCGATGGCGCCATCTTCTAATAGGGGCGCAGCACAAAATCCAGGTTTGTACAGATCACAAGAACTTGGAATACTGGAGGACCGCACGAGTACTCAACCAGAGACAGATTCGATGGGCACAGGAGTTCTCCAAGTTTTCCTTCGAAATCCGATACGTACCTGGGGAGGAAAACGTGAGAGCAGATGCGCTCTCCAGGAAGCCAGAGTACTGGGAAGGAGAGGGCCGGAGATCGACACGTGATCCCCGAGGACCGGTGGGTGTGTGGGGAATCTTGGTGGGGAAACGAGAACTGGCCGGACTCACTAGAAACGACGTGTTCGCACAAACTAAAATCCGGGAAATCCGAGATGGAAGAGAAACCCAGGGAGGGTTTGAGGAGAAGGAAGGGGTGCTGTACTATAAGGGGGGCGCTGTATGTACCGGGGGAGACCCTGAGGGGGAAGGTACTCAAACAACTCCACGACAATCCCACAGCTGGACACTTTGGACAGCACAAAACCATGATGCTTGTCACCAGGCAGTTCTGGTGGCCCAGGGTGAGGGAGGATGTACGGGAATATGTACGGGGTTGCGACCGCTGCCAAAGGGCAAAGGGGGAGCGGGCTGCCCCGCAGGATTACTGGAACCCTTACCCACGCCGGGAAAACCCTGGGAGGTGGTGTCCATTGATTTTATGACCGATCTGCCCAAGTCCCGGGAAAGACAGCAGTCATGGTAGTGGTCGACTTACTGACAAAAATGTGCCATTTTATAGCCTGCTCACATGCGGTTACGGCAGAGGAAACAGCCAGGTTGTTTGTAGATCACATCTTCAGGTTGCATGGGGCTCCCTCGAGGGTTATCTCCGACCGCGGGAAACAATTTACTTCCCGGTTCTGGAGGAAGCTCATGAGCTTGCTACAGGTCGAAGTGGGCTTCTCGACGGCGAGACACCCGGAAACCAACGGGCAAGCAGAAAGAGCGAACAGTATACTCCAGCAATACCTACGCTGTTACGTCAGCGAGAGGCAGAACGATTGGGTGGAGAAACTAGCGCTGGCTGAATTTGCGTACAATAACGCTGAACATGTGTCCACGGGAATGAGCCCGTTCATGGCCAATTATGGGTGTCACCCCAGGGCCTTCCCGGGGAGTGGGGAGGAAAGTTGGAGCGTGCCTGCGGCAGAGCAGTTTGTGGAAGAAATGGAGGCCCTGCACCAGCAACTTAAGATGAACTTGGAGCGGGCCAAGGAAATTTACAAGAGGCAGGCAGACAAGCACCGTAGGGAAGGGGAAACCATATGGGTGGGGGACAGAGTGTGGTTGTCAACCCAAGGGTTACCCTTTAAGGGGGGTGCAAGAAGTTGCAGCCCAGGCGGCTGGGACCGTTTGAAGTAACACAGCTGGTGAACCCCATGGCATTCAAGCTCAAGTTGCCTGACAGCATGAAAATACACCCGGTGTTCCATAGGTCCCTACTCTCACCGTACAGGGAGGGGCGGGAATTCCCGGGGCGAGAGGGAGAAGTCACCACACACCCGCAGGTAGAAGAGAGGGAGCACCACCACTTGGCCACGGAAATACTTGATTCAAGGTGGCGAGGACGCCAGGTGGAGTACTTGGTAGCTTGGGAGGGAGAACCCGGGTCGGAAAACACGTGGGTTCCCGCGGAGGCAATTGATGACGGGTATCTGGTGGAGGAATTCCACCGCCTGTTCCCGGGCAAACCCAAACCACTGGCGAGATTCTGGGAGGAGCAATTTGGAACCACAGACGATGAAGAGGATTTTGTGGGGTTTCCTGCCTCCGAGGAGGAGGGAGGAGAGGTTTCAGAGGAAGAAGAATCAGACTGGGAGGCCCACCCCGCGGGAAGGGATCAGAACGGGTGGGAAGCGGGCTTCGAATCCTCTGAGGATGACGACAGCTCCTTCCGGGGGTTCCCCGCATCGTCGGCCGAAGAAGGGGACGAAGTTGGATCAACAGGTTGGGCTGGGGGTGGAGGGGGTCCTGGGGGGGAGGTGGATGTCAGGGAACTGACATCGGAGCTAGAGGTGGAGGGAAGGCTCTCTAATGATGCTGGAGAAGGGCCCAGCAGGGAGAGAGGCAGCTCAGCAGATGGGGAAGCAATTCAGTGCAACACCAGGAATAAGGAGGGGCAGATGGGGGAATCGGCGAGAGGGCTCCCAGACTCTTCACCGGACACCAGCGGGGAGAGCACTGGTCCTCCGCTACCCACGCCCTCCCTGCGCAGAAGACTTCCGCGCAGAGAAAGTAGGAGGAGACTGGGTGTCAAACAACTTTTATGTTGG